AAAAAAAAAAAAAAAAAAAAAAAGAGAGAAAGAGTCGAGTTCGTGTAACGCTCGTTACGATTGTGTTTTGTTCGGATCATCGTGACCCATTTTATTCGACTCGATAGTTACGAAATACATAGCCAGGCAGTATAACAAGAGAAATTCTCTTTGCGTTGTCATTACACTGAGTGACTCTTGTCGTCTGACATATTTTTTGATATATATATTTTGAGTGACATTAGTTCTTTAACGAGTATGTACACAATGTCTCTTCAGTTGTTTGTGTTTTTGTTATATTTTTGCTTTGCAGAAAACAATTGACACTTTGATCAATTAAATTTATTTTTCAAGATGTCATCGCGCGCGAGGCGAAGTCTGTATCAATTGACACGATATCGGTCGTTCCGTCGAGAGAGAGAGAGAGAGAGAGAGAGAGATGTTCGCTGTCCGTAAAAAATATTAAACACAACTTCTCTTTTACCACCGATCGGATGAATTATAAAAACGCAACGAGAGCTCGAACTTAATAAAAGCAAAATGGGACAATTACAAAAAATAACCAATGAAGCTCGAAACGCGCAGCACTTTCCGAGTAACGTCCTGTTGTATTTTCAAGAGAGTTACGCTCGTAAAGACAAGTAACGACCAGTGTAACTGACATAATCACGAACCGAGTTGAGCGTGCGAGTAATACTGATTATACGACGTGTACCCCGCGCACGATGGTCGGGTGTGTTTTAATGTTTCGAACGACTATGGCATCTCAAACAGATTATCGGCCGTAAAGAAAATTTTACTTCAGAAATGATACTCGTTATTTTTTCTTTCGCGTATTACATACAACGCGAAGAGAAGACGAATTTTTTTCTCTTTTCCAAAATTTTTGCCGCAACACGGCAGATTCTCTCTCACGGCGGTTTCGTCGTCTTCTCCGTGAAGAAAGCGCGTGCGCGCGCGAGCGATTCTACGCGATAGCGACGGAAAAACCATAAAAGGATTGTGACACTCACGAGATCGGCGGAGCGTAGCACATAAATCACGGGTTAATTTTTTAAAAAGCACTCGCGGTCGTACGATGCACTGCAAACGTGCAATTAATCTTGCCTAGTAGTAGGTCGTCTTTGCGCATAAAAACCGCATCCACGTATCGTCCACGTTGTGTACATGTATGTATGTATATACCGACTTAATTTATTCGCTCGCGGGATGGTCTCTTCTAAGAGCCAAAGAGCAAAAGTCAAGCGTTTTTCAAGAATACGACGTGCGCAAATAATAACGCTTACATAAATTTCCGATTATTTCAGCGAAATGCAAAATATTTTCAAACAATCTCTTCATCAATTCGATTTATTTAAATATTAATAAAACATGAGCACACATCACTTACTCTTTTTATTTGGATTTATTTACTCAGCAAAAAAAAACAAATCTTTCTCTGTTAAAGCAAACAAATTGTTTTTTGGTTCGCGCGTCAGGTTTAATTTTTGCTGCGCGCGTTATCATCTCAGGTGTAACCAATTCAATTAATCTCGTAATAATAGACATAAAGGAGAAAACAACATCTTTCCAACGGCGATTGTTCAAAAGCAACCAACGAAACGTCACGAATAAGCGGCGGTCGCGATGATAAGAGGGGTGCGCGCACGATCGACCTACCGATCGATCGGCAATAAACAACAGAATGATCGACTTACCGATGATGCAGCAGAAGAGCAGCAGAACCATTACTCGTGACGACCTCATGGTGTCTTCGTCACTCGGAATCACGCGCGCACGCAACACATACACGTACATTCGGCGTACACAACTTTTTCCTCTCGTCACGTCATAACCGATGTCTCCCCGAGACAGAGTCGTACGCGCGCGCGATGTGATCTTCTCCCTCTTCTTTCTCACCTTTTCTTTGCAGCGATCTCAATATACTTCCATTATACGATCGTCGAACGCGAGGTATTTAGTGCGCTTTCTCGCGCAGCGAGAGGCAAACGTGTGTGTGTGTGTGTGTGTGTGTGTGCGAACGATTTTTTTTTTTTTTTATCTATCTTCCGCACGTGGAATCTCTATTCTCTCATCTCCGGCACACGCGGACAGTTACGACACCGTCGTCGTCGGCGACAATGAAGAACGTCGGAATGACAAAAGCGCAGACACAATCGATGGTAACGTGCTCGTCGCGTCCGCGTTATCAGTCTATTTCCTACGCGCTGTTGCGAGTTCATACACTTGTAACTAACGAAAAAACCTTCCTCGCGGACAAATTGACGTCCTCGATTCGACGATGCAGTATATACGCGCGTGATATACACCAATCTTCTCGCTCTTCTCTTCCTCTTGTTTTCTTTTTCCCTTTTTCTCGATCTGTTCGCTATCTTTCAGAGATAAAATTTCGCTTTGATTGGCTCGTTTGCGAGAACACCGATTCGTTTCTTCGCGAACAACGTCGAGGAAGTCTGAAATGACGTAAGTCGAAATATCTGCTGATGTAACAGCGAGAAAGCGTCGCGAGGGACGTTTCTTCTTTCCTTAAAATAAAAATAAAAATAAAAAGAGTGACGCGTTTCAAAGAGTGACCTTCATTTTCCGCGCTTGACAATGCGAGACAACTCGCGACTAATTATGCGTCCCTCGCGCTACAGCGACATTAATGATACCCACCGCCGTCAAGACTTGTTTGTCACCGCGTTTGTCACAGCACTTGGACGATAATCGCCACACGAAGCGGTGTAAAGTGTAACACTCTCTCTCGGCGGTTTACTCTCGGTTCGTTAAGCACTCGCGCGACGTGAAACTCGAAGATACGATCGTCACGCGAACATAATCGAAAAGACTTGAGACGGACTTTCGATACTTATTAGCTGTTCAACCAGTGATTAACGCGCGGACGCGCGATACCGACCCTATTGTCCTTGGGACGGAGATGACGGAGAAAGTCGCTTTTGTTAAAAGTCGTCGGTCGACGGCTCTCCCCGCAGAAATTAAAGGACGTTCTTTCTCCGGAGAAAGAGATAGAAGTTTCTAACGAACAAAATTATCTCGCGGCACAGTTTGCCCCGCTGGTAATTAAGATACTCGGTAACCAGTAATTCTGTTCGACGCAAATCTGGATCCGCGTCGCCCGGTCTTCGCTGCCTCCTCCGTCCGCGCGCACCTCCTCTCGCGCTTTCTCCCTCTCTTCTTCCGTTCCACCGTCTATCTTTCGACGAACGACCAGCTGCCGCTTCTCCTCTGTTTGGTATCCAGTGTTGTTGTTGCCTAACAAAGTTGGTATACGGTCTGATAAATAGACGTGCCCGAGTGTAGTCTTACGTGGGCGTCGATATCGCCGGTTGGCCGAGAGAGTTAGGTGCAAGGTTGCTTCTCTTCTCCCGATTAGACGAGCCCAACCAACCTACCACGATCGCTATCTCGAAATCGAGAACTAACCCCGAAGACCCTTCCGATGTTGGCGAGATCGCGAAAGTTCCTACGTGCCGCGTTACAAAGCGAGAGGAGTATTAAGTCAAATCTTGGGCTGTTCGTCACGCCTGAATGTTCCGAGAGATATCGATCTCAATAAGTAGAACGTTGTAATGAGAAAAGTAATATCAAGATTCTCTGCTCGTTCCACCGTTCCTTAATTGCCCCCTAATGACTTGAAAAAAAATATTGCACTCCGGTGGGTAGAAAAGAGAGCGCGATATATATTAATAATTTAACTTTTCTCTCTTGAAACACGCGAGAGAAAGAGAGAGAAAATTATCTTTCTCAGGTAGTGTATATATTTTTAAAAAACGCTATTTTTTTCACAGTTTTTCTCGCAGTAGAGACGGTATTATTAAAGAAAAATAAAAAGCGCTGTATACAGGTGCCCGCGAGTATATACCCGCAATATGTTACCGATTAAATATTTCAGTATCGTTTACTCTTTTCTCGTTATTCGCCGATCGTCGTGACGTTAAGCTCCACGCGGAAGTCGAACATCCTTCACACAACTGACCCCTCAGCCAGAGGTGAAAGATCGATCCTTTTACGAACGTCGCGCTCGTGCAACAAACGATCGGCGCGCAGTTTCTGCTATTCATCGTACAAAGCGGCGGTGGCGGACGCGGCGGCGGCGGGCCTACCTCCTAGACTCGGGCGGCTTTTACGATGCCAGATAGGCCGCGCACGGACTCGATTTAATCCGCGCTACACGACGAGCGTGACGAAAGGCAGGTCGTATAACGGCCCGCGATTGGAAACTTTATCGACTCGATCGAACATCTCCGCGAATATCGCCGCGGATAATCCGCGGAATACTCGCCCGTTACTCCCGGATATATTTTTTCCCCTTCCGCGTGTGCTCTCCTCTTTTCCATCGTGGAAAATTCTCGGCCACGACCGAAATCGCGATATTATTCGCGGATTTTGCATTACACGACAGAAAAAAAATAGACACATCGTTCATATACTACATATATATGCATACACTGCGCGCGCAGAGCGAAAAGCACGAAAGTAATAAATTATTCCGTAAAAATCCACGACCAGCTCATCTATTCCTCGAGATCATTTTTACATTTTTTTTTTTTTTCAAAGTTACTTTTTACGGTATATTTTAACCGCCACGGCCATTTCACATTCATCTCTATGTTAATAGACAGAAAATATTCGTGCCAAACGACATGAATCTTTAACAATTATTAAAACTTCTTTCTTCTTCTCCTCCCCGAGCGCGTGTTCGCCTGTAGCGTACGCCACACTGATTTATACAAGATAAAAAAAAAAAAAAAAACAACTCTATGCTCGAATAACAACGGAAATTGCGTAAAAATATTACCGTAAATGCAAACCCGCTTTTTCTATACCAACAATTTGAGCCGAGAAGAAGAAGGGGAAGAAAACAAAGTTGCAGACGAGTTTCGCCGGTAGTCGCCTACAGCGTTTCACGTAAACTCTTTCGTGAAGTTACTGTGCGGGAGCTTTTGTGTTCTATGATTAATACGGGACATCCCGCACGTCGTGCTCGACTCGCGTACTACAAATGGCTCGCATGCCAATCGATAAATCAACGTAATTACACCTCCGACGGTTGGCCTATAACGTTATCTCGCGGGAGCTCGAGCCACGATCGACCGCGGTGGCGTATATCCTACGACGGACTTCTTCGTCGCGTTGTTAAACGCGTCGGATTCTACTCTCTTCCACAAGGCGCGCGCGAGAAAGAGTTCAAAACCCATCCGCTCTTTATATCTCGCGAATTATCTTTATAACTCTTCAAACGTGTCCTATCGCGTGGAACGAACGCCAGTCGAATAAGCGTCCGGCTTTGTGATTCAGGTGCCACCTTTCGAACGCGAGCGCGACCGTCTTATCGTGCGACACGTGAAATTAGGTCGCGTATATCAATTCGCGCACAAGGGCGAGCCGTAAAAGATTCCTCGAATTATTTACGACCGTCCGTGTTAGCAATTGACACACCTTGCAAGAAGCCAATTGCGATGGACAGAAGAGATATCACGTTACAGAGCGCGGAGGATATAGTGAAAGCACTTTGTGTACGCGTTAATGCTTCATTAACACACACCGATGGATATTATTGTGAATTTTATATGACATTTAAATGTCGGCGAGGTATAATATCCCGCCGCCAAACGGGAATACAAACTACAGGCGGCTGTTATTTCGCCCCAACGGATACGGAGAAGAGCTACTTTTGCGGAAACGATTAATTCGCATTAGTGTCGGCGGTGTGTGATTTTTTTTTTTTTTTTTTTTTCCATTCATAATTCATCCGCGTTCTGCGGCAGTAGCTTCGTTTCACGCGATAAAGATGCGTTCGGGTGACGGCGCACGTCAGACCCGAACAATAGGTGTCGAAAGAAATTAATGCCCACGTGCTAATTCGGCGGAACGGATATGCATGTGGGCGAACAGCCAACAACGTCCCGATGCTAGGCCTGACACACCGACGACACGCAGTCGGGCGGCCGGCGCCTTTGAAACAACTTGTACGAACACCTGTAAGTGCGCGAGCAGATGTACCACGCGCGATCATTAATCAACGGTGCGGTCGACTCTCCAAACTGCAATGCAAATAAGTCGCGTCCCGTTCACGACGTCTCACGACGACGACGACGACGACGACGACGACGATGACGGGAAGGTCGCGTGCAAGACGGACGCGATGGCCTGGAAAAGGAGTCAATTTCCCAATGTCACGTTGAAATGTCGAAAATATTGGAAAGACAATTATCTCTACGTATCGCTCGCGTTTGTATATTTCTCTATCTAATAGAGATTTCAATAAATAAATAGTCTACAATGTCACTCGTTATTTAATTGAAAAAATGGATCGGTTTTACTCTTCCACTTAAAGGTGTGAAGAAAATTATTAATGTAACGTTTCCCAAACGACACACCACATTATTCATTAATTTCGTCAACAGTTTGTCTACGGTGACTTGAAACGTTAAATGCCGCGAACTTCTGAGAGAGAGAGAGAGAACCGCACAATTACTATACTCTCTACGACTGTGCTCGCGAAACGCAAGTCGAGAAGTCTAGGCGACTAGGTCGAAGAGCAAGCGTCGCCGCGACACGTCCAACTGTTTCGGAATTCGCCGAGTTCCGGTTGTGTTTCTACACGAGGGTAAAGACAGCCATTAGACGAGGACGGTGTAACGTGGACTTTGGTGTGTGTACGTTTCCAGAGTGCATCTCAACACAAAGATCTGCAGTGGATCGCTCGTTGTTGTCCCGGCGAGATATCGGTGGTTGTACGTGCGTCTGTTCAGCATCCCGAGATTAGGAACAACCGCACGTTACTCGTATCGGTATTCCGAAGGAAAATCGACGACTTGCAATCGGTTAAGTGCAAGCGAGCGCGCCACGATCGAAGCTATTGTCACGAAACAAACGCGCGTATCAAAGAAATTGCAAATGCTGGAGATCTATTGCTCGACCTTCGCACAACGCGGCAACAATATTGTTAGAACAAATAGCGCTTGGAACGCTTTGAACAAATAATCACAAAAAATACAAAACGTAAAATCAAACGATTATATGTGTATAAATTGTGGAACTTTAAATATCATGTTTTTTTTTTCTAAATAAATGCCTTTTATCAGCTAAAAAGTCTATTTTATATTCACATAAACCTCACACAAATCCTAAAGAAAAAAAACGATCTGTTAGTGAACTTTCTTCGAAGAACGCTCTATGTTTCGTCAGAGGATTAACGGGATATCGTAAATTCAAAGAAGGCTGAGCGCGAGAGTCGCCAAAGAGAGCCTGAATAAAGCTTTCGTGCGAAAATTTATTCTCGTGGGAAAATTATTGAAACGCGCCGCGGGCCGTCACGCATATCGCGCTGACGCGTTCACGCTTTTAAAAAGCGCCGTATATCGCAATATATCAGGACGCACGCAAGAAAGTTGCAGCCCGTTGCTGCGTTGCTCCCTCTTATTACGCGCCTTCTTTGTAACATATTTCCTACATTAACACGTGAAAGACTTTCGAATGTGAATGTTGCTCTCGCTTCTTCTTTTCGAGAAATATCTCGAGCGATAAACTTCAATTTATCTTGTGTGTTCATAAAGGTGCTTTTTTTTCTTTTTTTTTTTTCTTTTTTTTAAGTTGCATCAGGTACAGGTTATAATACGTCGCCTGTTTTAACATGCAAAAGAATTGGTCCAACATTGGTGTGCGTACACACGTACACGCGTTCTCTTCAACGTGAATAAATTCGCTCGAAAAACCATAATATTGCGTGCGGAATACTGAAAAGTAATTCGATATTTATTTTCAACGATTATTAGCGCGATATTTAAAGTAGCAACGCGTTCACAAAAAAAAAAAATTTGTTTAATTAAATACATATGTATCCCCATTGTATTCTACCATATATACATAATATGTGAACGTTAAATAAACTGTACCGATATATCCAGCCAATCGTATATTTATATAAAATGGCTCATATTTAAAACCGAGAGACACATTGTCATATTAATACTCGTCTAACGATCACGTGTATTGAATGTTGAACGTTTTATCATATCGCATCAACACACAATGGTCATTCGACAATGCGCGCTAGCTGTGCCAGACAGATTTAATGAATAAAAAAATTATTAAGAAAAAAAACCATAAAATAAAAATCATAAACGCCATAGATCATCACGTACATTTGTGTGTTAATGCCGATTCGATATAAGAATAAAAATGATGTGTCGCGTAATACACACGTTTATCTTCGGTTTTAATCATTAACAACAAAAGAGGGCAATAGACTTCTCTCGGACGTCAAAAAT